GAGAGAGAGAGAGAGAGAGAAGGCAGATGAAAGAACAAGGCCAGAGACTGAGCCTTTGCATGACCACGTGCTCTGACCTTAAGGAAGGCCTCCTTTTGTTCCAAATGTTTGCTGATGAGTGGAATGACGTGGTCGATCTCTGCTGCAGGCCCCAGTTTATCTCGTCCGCCACACCAGTCCTCATCTCTCCGGTACTCTTGCTCTAAGCTCTCCAGGACACTACACACCTAACGAGTCATGGAAGAAAAGACTCAGTAAATGAATCGGCCGGGAAGTGTTCTCTGAGGACCTTCAGAACTCTACACAGGTGCCATTTTTCATTCCATGTTCAGGGCTCCTGGGACATCTAAGAGAAGTCCAGGAGGCAATGACAGTCCTGTGTCTGAAACTCAGGAGACATTATGAATGGAGATATGGATTTTGGAATAATCTTCTTACGAAGGTTGACGATATCACCTAGGAATAGAATGTAGAGTAAGAAAGGAAGCAAGACTAGCATTTTGGGGGTTTCAAAGTGTTTTGTACATATTATATTATAACCGCACAATAACTCTGTGAATTAGGCAGAACAGGAAATGAAGTTTGGAGAAGAGACGTGACTTTACCAATCATCTCTACTTGTCCCATGGTACGTAGCCTCAAGCAGAGGTAAAGGAGGAAGTCGCCTATGTTATATAATTTATGGGCCATAAATGAATGACATCCTTCCCCTACCCTGGGGAAAAGTGTCTCCAAGTCCTACCAGAAAGTAAGGATATCTCTAGGCCCTCTATTACAAAATACACATTTCCTGCAGGGGGAAGACAAATATGGGTTAACCTAAAAGATAGCTGAGAAGTTTTTCAGTTTTAAAAATGCTGAGAGGCCATGTTAAATGACCTTACAAATGAACTCAGAAGAAAGCAGAAGCATTTTGAAGGGGTTTCAGAGGGAAAATTAGGTTGGGTTCCACAATGAGAAACCTAGGGCAGCCTAGTATCAGGGCTAGAGAAGGACGCAGAAAATAGAAATTCACATTCCTACACTGTCAGCCCACCTTATCTGTGGATTCTGCATCCGTGGATTCAACCAATCACAGATGGAAACCATCCAGGAAAAACAATAAAAAAAATACAAATAAAAACAATATAGCATAACAATTATTTACACAGCATTTACATTGCATTAGGTATTATAAGTAATGAAGAGATGATTTAAAGCATACGGGAGAACACACATAGGTTATATGCAAGTACTATGGCACTTTATATCAGGGACTTGAACATCCAAAGATTTGGTATCCATGGAGGGTCCTGGAACCAATATTCTGCAGATTTAGAGAAACTACTGTACTGGGCCCTTCAATAAACTTTGGTTACTTGCTTGGATATGGCAGCAGGCGAGAGAAACTATAACTATCCTTGGCCTTCTCTGAGAAAGTAGTCTCTCTTGATGAAAGATGTGCCTTTGGATAGGACACTCGCTGAGTCATGAACTGAGCTGAAAGATGTCCTAGGCAGAACACCCTGATGGCCAGACATGCTTCCTATGTCCTGAGGTCTGTCCCTGAACTCTGGGTGACTTCTCTAGTCCCATCTCTAGCACCACACCTCTGTTTATGCAAGGCATGAAAACGTGCAGGCTCATGTCTGGAGACAAAACAGATTATAGACATGCAAAACTCTAAGAAAAAGCGTATTTGAGATCTGTCCCATGATAGAACTGGATTTATAAACAAACAGTTTGAGAGTTAGAAAAAATGAAAAGATTATTATGTATAAATCCTTTAACGGGCGAGGAAACAGAAATCCAGCAGAATAAAGTAACCTTCAGCAAGGTCAGCTTAGGGCTAAATTTCCTGACTCTTAATCCAGCGTTCTGTTCCCTTCGCCATCTTGATCCATCTCAAATTAAAATGTGTGTATGACATTAGACAAGGATCAAGCCTCATTTTTTTCCATATGGATATTCAGTTGTCTAGCATCTTTTGTTAGAAAGACTTTCCTTCACTCATTGAATTGCTTTGTCAAAAATCAACTGTCCGTATAAATGAATCTACTCTATAACCTCCATTCTGTTCCTTTGTGTTTATTCTCACACTAGTACCATTCTGTCTTGATCACTGAAGCTTTAGAGTAAGACTTGAAATCAGGTTGTATAACTTCTCCAACTTTGTTCTTCCTTTTAAAGATTGTTTTGGCTATTCTAGGCCTTTGCATTTGCATACTTTGCATTTTATTTCCATTTAAATCTTAGAATCAGTGTATCAATTTCTACAAAAAAAGCTTGCTGGGATTTGACTGAGATTGTGTTGAATCTATAGATTGGCTGGGGACACTCTTTATCACTTTAGTCTGCTGTGCCCACTTCTGTGGCCATCAAGGGCATCATCTCTCTGGAAGGACTGAGAGCAGGAGTGGAGACTATCGCACTGGTGTAGAGCCTGCTAATGGGCATGTTATATTTGCTCCCAGGCAGATGTTCCCTTGGTCTCTGTAAGTCACCCAGAGGAGACTGATTTATTTCTACCAGGGAGCAATTCAAATGAGGAAACTATTTTATATGGAATAAAATTACTCCTGCTTTAAACCTCTATTTCATGAAAAGAATTCCCTAACAGCATCCAAATCATTTAAAGAATCCACTTAGCCCTTGTGCATATTGCTGTACAGATGTCATGGTAACGTTATCTGTGTCTTTATGGCCCTACTGTTTCATTTCCTGTCTCTTCTCCCAGAGCAGCACCATGTTACCAGTTAGGCTCCTGCTTCCCCATGACAGTAAGCTGTGTTTCCTCCATTAGATTGTGATGCCATGAATGACAGAGCCATATGTTCTTCAAGCAGTGCCCAATGCCTAATTGTGGTAGATTTGATTATTGTTCAGCAAATATTCATTCTCTTCTCCCAAGCTTCAAAGGAGGCATTGCTGCCTCACTGATGTTGGTTTGGCCACGTGAGTTGTTTTGGCTGATGAGATGTTAGAGAATGTGACACAAGCAAAGACTTGAAATGTACATGCATGGTAGATTTTGGGCATTTGCACTCCTGCCTTTAACTTTAAATTGTGCCTCAGGTAGCTGCTGGTCAAGGAGGATGGGAGACACAGGAGCATATCTAGCTCCAATCTGCAGCCTAATTCTACAAGCTCAACCAACGTCAATCAAACCCCAGATACTTCAGCAAAAAATAAATGCTTATTGTTTTGTATCACTGAATTCTGGGGTAGTTTGTTACACACCGCTATTGTGGAAATAGCTAATAGGCTGCTCAAATCTAGCATTCAGCATATGTCCAACTTCTACTTGAACACCTGCACATAGATGAGTTTGAGAAATTTATGAGAAACAAATCACATGGTCCAGTGCTCAAATGGAAAGGATTATAAGGAAGCAACTGTGACGTTTCCACAGACCATTCTGCTATTCTCAAAGGTTAGTATTTGAGCTTCTTGCTCAAATAGGTACTGCAGGTTTGCACCGTGAGGCAGAAAACAGCCCCGTCAACCTGAGCCCCACACGCCCCACAGCCCTCTCCCTCACCTGTTCAGAAGTTTTGTAAAAGGCCACAGAGGCGTTGACCAGTTTTAGCCGGTCTTCCATCTTCAGCATGAGCTGCTGCCAGTGGAGGGCCACCTTCTCAGCACACTCCCGGATGGCGTCGGCATCGTAGTGGCCGGCCTGGAGCAGTGCCTCGGCCTTCTGCTGTACCTGCAGGGCGCTCTGGTGCGTCTTCTGCAAGGAAGTGGCATGAAAGAGGGACTGGGCACAGGGGAGGAGAGAGAGTCCGTGGGAACAACCCAGGTGTGGTATGGGAGGGGGTGGAGTGAGGCGTGAGTGGAAAGATGCAGAAAAGTTAAAGAGCTTTAAATGACTGATCCATTTTGTCATGACGATAAATACATTATTGTTTTTAAAGCATATTTAAAAAAAAGAATATCGCAATTTTCATTAACTAATCTCTCAGGACCCTAACTCCTGCCCCCATTCCTGTCTTTCTACTTGCTTCACTCTAGACTTTAAGGACATTTCAGTTTCTGTGGCAGAGAAACAGAAGTTGTGTATCAATCTGCTCTCAATTAGTTCACAAGTTAAATTGCCTTTACAAATCTAGTCATGAAATTGTTTATCATTGAATTTGCAAAGGAGGCTACTACCGCAGTCCCATTTTATAGATCAAGTAAACACAGCACATTAAAAAAAACTCCATGTAACATAAATCTCAACTAACATTTTAAACATTACTAATCAGTTAAAAAGGACTTCAGTTGAAGGAATAAATCTGGCAGGTAAATAAAGCTAAAGAGTAACCTCTCACATCATCCCCTAATTACTTCAGCAAGGGAGTAGAGCAGTACAGTAGATAATTTACCCCAACACGCAATCCCCAATCCCCACATCATTTATATGTTTGCCTATAGGAAATATATTTGTGTGTGTGTGTGTGTGTGTGTGTGTGCAGTGTGTGTGCCTGTGCGCCTGTGTGAGCATGTATCTATCTATCTATCTAGTAGAAAAGGTTTCTCAATGCTTTCTGATTCAGGCTGCATGTGCTTTGCATTCTCTGCATTCACACTAACCATAGGAGGTGGGGAGAACTGGGTGGCAGGCAGAGAACCAAATGGGATTAAAATTTACTGAGACAAAGTACTGATGTGGATGATCCACAAGAGACTATTAGAGCCCCACTGACTTAAAAGAGCTAATATCATTCCAACCTCAACTGCTGGGTTTGTTGCAGGGTAATGGTGTAGTACTAATGTGGCCTTTGCACTTTTAGGAAAATAGAGCTCAGCTGGTAGTGAAACGGGACAGCTAGAACCCAGTAATTTACTCCAGAATCATTTTATGCCCTTCTTGGGTGGCAGTTCTGGGACAGTCCCCCAGAGCTAACCCATTCAGCACTGCCTGTGTCACCTGTACCTCCCCAATTCCCACCACGCTGGCCCTTCACCCTCGACCCAGACTGCAGTTTGCACACTGCTACTGATTTTCCTCAGTCTGTTCCCCACCTTTCAGCCTCCTCACTCTTTCCAAATCTGTATGGAGTGTTAGCTATGTTAGCACGACCTCTAGCAACCTAGACCCCTCATTCCCTCGCCTTCCCACTGAGTCAGCCCTCTATCCTGATGACCACATCAGCATCTGGCTTCCTAACTGGCTAAATGCAAGCTAAAGAAAGTAAACTGATGGGCAGAAATAACCCACCACGAATCCCTGGTTGTCTTTCTCTATTTTGCTTATTGGCACCATTTTCTTTTCCTGTCTCCTAAATGTAGAGGTGCCAAGGCCAGTTCTTGTTGTTTGTTCACATCTGCTGCAGCGCTCTCATCCATTCCCTTGGCTTCTATTATCTTCTCTTTGCAGATGACTCCCCAGTCTGCATCTCCTGCATCTGATCCTTTGTCTTCAGGTGCAAGGGTAAGTTTCCTGACACCTCTCACCCTAGTGAGCAGCACCAATCCAGTCGATCTAGCTGTCCCCTGTTAGCCTGCTACAAAGATGCATTCTCAGTAAAAGTGATCTCCCTAGAGAGAGGAGGGCCCTCGCCATGAATGGAAGGGCTTGATTGCTCTATCAGAGACTCCACCTCCTCCCAGAGAGCCCCTGAAGTTTCACAGCTGAAACTAAACTCCTCCCCTCTTTAAGACAAGCTTCCCATGATAATCTGTCACTTCTGTTGGTGCCCTTCTTCTTCCTGTCTCCTAGGATTGCAATTTTTTTCTTTAATTTTTATTTCAGCATGTTATGGGGGTATAGATGATTAGGTTACATATGCAATCTTGACAGCATTCTCGCCTGCTGCTCCCCACTCCCCAGTCCTAGCCCATCTCTCGCCACTTCATACACAGACTGCTGTGGTGGTGGCCTAACTAGTCTTCTTACCTTCCATTTCTAATCCACCAAATTCATCTGTTACATTTTTAACAGATTCATTTAATTCTCTATAATGGGAAGTGCTTGCATGAAGTGACTTCTAACATCTTTTCTTGCTCTAAAATTCTCATTTTATGCCATAAATATCACTCCCTTCTCTAAATTCAAGCCTTCAGTGGTTTCCCCATTGCTATAAAATTCAGTCCAAACTTTAGAGGCTGAAATTAAAAGCCCCTCACAATGTGGCCCTAACTACTTCTATGACTTTATCACCTACTACTTCCTTACAAAAACCCTATGAAAATACACCATGCACTTTCTTGCTTTTGCTACCTTCATTGTTCCTGCCTTTAATGAATGCCCTGAGTGCCTCTCTCTCTACATTCCAGCTTTCCTTTGAGATTCAGCTCAAGTCTATCCTCCTGTAATGAAGCCTTTTCAGACAGTCTGAGACCCATTGAAAACCCCCTTCTTCTGAACTCCCATGTGACTCATTTAACACTTGGCTGATTTTCCTTACTTAGTGAAACTCTCAAGGCAAGGAGGGTTTGAAAAATCATTAAATAGCTGTCATTTTTCTGAGGGTCCATTCTGTATACAGTGCTGAGCACTGTGCAGAAGCATATATTTTCTAGTTCTCCCAATATTACTATAAGCTGGATAGTATTATTCCCATTTCACAGATTAAGAAACTGAGGATCAGCTGGTTATGTGACTTGCCCAAAGTCACTGGTTTCATCACTTAGAACCAAAGAAGTGATGAAACCAGGAATAAGACTCAGATTTGACCTATTCCTAAACCTATGTTTTTTCCACTATATCAGACCCCATCATTTTATCTCTAGCAATTAGAACAGTATCTATAATATCTCATTCAGAGGAAGGGTTAACCAAATGAACATTAGTGATTATGATAATTATCTGGCCTCTTCTCAATACGTGAAATCAGCATATAATTGTTATCATAAACCTGTTATTATGTCTTCTTCTCTGAGAGTGGAGGAGTAGCCTTGATTTTCCCATAATTTATGTTATGTAATAAATTCTCTCTCTTACTTTGAAACTCATTATCATCTAATAGTCCTGGGAGCTCCTTCCCCCTTTAATTTCCTAAATGATAAACTCTTATCCATATGACATAATCTTTGCTCTGCTAAGCTTAAGTCATTATTTTACATTTATTTCTAGTCCCCATTATCTAATCCTATTGAGTGCTATATCTTTAAGACATGGATTATCAAGGACATTAATATTTAGTAGGAGTACACAGAAGAAAATGGAACTGAATCAACTGAATTTATTATCCAGTTTTAACCACTTCTTCTGGCATAATGCTTATGCTTAAAATGCATAAGAGGATTTCAAATAAAAATAGATTTTGAAATTTAGCTTGTCTCCATGAAGTTCACAGTTCCTGAAGATACATCAACCACATCCTGGATACTAATAAATAATAATCTAGGTTTGCTTGATAAAGCTTGGTTTCTTGTACATGCTGTGTACTGTTTTCTATTCTGAACGGCTCTAGGGAAGTTTTCCTGAAACCAGGGCTACTTGAGGTCAAAATTCTGACCTTCCTCGGGGAGACCAAAGCCTGCAACCTGATGAGGCCATCGAGGCTAATGTTAGCAGATATCTGGGTTTGCTCATGACAGTTTCAGTACCTGTTTTTCTGGCTTAGTTATTAATAATTCCCTCCATTCTTAAAGGTGTCTCATTTAAACAATAAATTATATGATCGTCCTACTTATAGCTATTTTATTTTCTCTTATGGAACCCAGGGTTCCTTCTTAGGGTCCAAGAAGTCAAGTTATGCTGCCCATCCACAATTATTGTAAAGGCCTCTGATAACACTGTCAAAATGACTTAAGCCAACCAGACTATTTTCACTCCCTTTAAAATTGCTCGAATCCTCCCTGGCATATTTTCCTCCTATTGCAGAACCTGGGCTAAAATAACACATTTAAAGAGAGGCACAGGCTACCTGGAGAAGGAGCATATGTTGAAATTCTGGTTCTGTTCCCTTCATTATTCTAGCCATGCTGCAGACCCTGCCTAGCATCCATTCCCAGGATCTTCTGGAAATCCCATCCGCTCTGCCATGCCCTCTTGAGACCACAGACACACAGGAGTGGCCTGTATCTCAACATCAGCTCCAAGAATATTTCATTGAGTTTTACCCATATAGAAACCCAGAACAGATTAAGAGATATTTGTGCCTAGTGAGACTCTATTCTATAGGGATGCAACAGCATCTAATACAAGTTAACAAATACTGCATATGCAGTCATATTGAAATTAGTCATCTCAATAGCACTGTGAATACATTTGCCCATTCTTTCTTACAAGCTCACTGAGATGCTCGAGTGTGTCATGACATTTGATCTTACTTGCCCAACATTTGATTAAGGGACTAGAAATTTAATTACCAGACAGGATATATGAACCTTCTCATTCAAGATAAATAAAGAGAAGGTATGGCCAAGAGCTGTCGTCTCTCTGCTTAGCATCCCTCATAACTTTGGCCGTGCGTCTCATCTGATGGCCCAACCATCATTCTCTTCACTGCTGCCTCTGACTGTGTGCCTGAGCCTTGATTATAACCACAATCCTGACTTTTCCTTTATAGTGAACAGGTCCTGACACTGTTTGTATTTGGGTGTGTCTGTAAACTGCAATAGAGACAGCTGATGATAATAAAACTTATCTCCTTCGGTTAATTCTTTCTTAGAAAATGATTGCTCATACTGTGTTTGCAATACACATTTTTTCAAAAATTTTATTGTTTAGATGATTACTATCATTTATTTAGCCTTCCCTTGACATTAGATCTTGATTATTACTTCCGAAATTTGCCAGTTTTTTTATTTCCATAGATTTAAGGGGTACAAATATTTTGTTATACAGATGAATTATATAGTAATGAACCCGTCATCTGAATAGTGTACATTGTACCCAGTAGGTAAGTTTTTGTCCCTTATGCCCTTTCTGCACTCCCCCTTCTGAGTCTCCAATGTCTCTTATGCCACTCTGAATATACAGTTTATTTTAAAATCTCAAATCCAGACTGTACTTGTAGTACTAGCAATGGTCCCTAAGAAGATATCAAGCATCTTAATACTCTGTCTATACATCCAAGATGGTTTCTGGAAAATTAAATGGTTGAATTCAATTAATATTAGTTTAAAAATGGCTAGGTTTTGGTTGGATTACTGCATAAAAAGACATAGGCACAGTATAATTTTATTATTTTGCCATCATCATAGAAAATTCTCATTAACAATCTTTTTTGTTTTTAGAATATAACACCTTTGCACTTCTTACACACTCCTAAGTGGGTTGAATTCTATACTAAACAAGTAACGAGTGTCTTTTAAGTTTTTATTCCTTATCTCTTTTCCCATTGGTACTGAACTTATTTTATTTTTAATATACTTCCCATGTCCCATTTCTTACTCTTTTCCCCACACCACTCTAGAGTAATCAGTTCAAGTCTCTTTGGGAAGGACAATGTCCTAGTAGATAGGATAATTAAAGGTATTTAAAGAAAGACATAATTTATATTAGGTTATCATAAATGAAGTTTTATTTTAAAATAGCCTTTTAAAAAGTCCATGTTAGTGAATTTCTTCTGGTTGCAGTTTTTTTTATTTTTTTTTTTTGAGACAGAGTCTTGCTTTGTTGCCTGGGCTAGAGTGAATGCTGTGGCGTCAGCCTAGCTCACAGTAACCTCAAACTCCTGGGCTCAAGTGATCCTTCTGCCTCAGCCTCCCGAGTAGCTGGGACTACAGGCTCGAGCCACCACACCTGGCTAATTTTTTTTTTTTTCTATTTTTAGTAGAGACAGGGTCTCACTCTTGCTCAGGCTGGTCTCGAACTCCTGAGCTCAAACGATCCTCCCACCTCGGCCTCCCAGAGTGCTAGGATTACAGGTGTGAGCCACCACGCCCGGCCTAGTTGCAGTTTATTCTTTCAATATGCCTTCTTCTAATATTACTGAACAACTACTTTCAGTGAGGTAAACTATCTGGTGCAATCTGCTCCAGTGCTCATTAACCTTGTTAAAAGGCAGACCCTGACAACAGTATCTAAGTGTTATGTGTAAATCAAATGTTTACAATAGGATCCTAATTTACTAATGACTTTTGCATTGGTTTATCCTGAATTCTCAGTGATCTTCAGTGGGAAGTGACTTCTAACATGTTAGCTTTATGTTTCCCCATATTGAACATGTCTAGAATGTATAAAAAATCTCAGTGTACCACTGGCCTTAAAGATTGAAGGTACTGATGAGCAACAAAGATTCTATTTGTGGTGTGCTACTTGTCTTCTAGTAGCCTCCTCAGGGGATGAATCCCTGCATTTGCTTCCCCATCAGCTCCTGGGTAGTAAGGAGGCTCCCTGGACCATTCCACTAGGAAGAGTAAAGGCTTCACCACTTGAACAAAGGCCCACACCTCAGGGAATCACCCTGCCTGAGGCACAGAGCAGAAAGGGGAAGGGAGGACAGTGCAGCCAGATTTGGGTGTTACCTCGATGGCCAGTTGGAACTGCTCATGTTCCCGCTGCAGCTGCTCCGCTTCAGACAAAGAGCTGGCATTGACCAGGCTGGCGTTGAGCATTGACTCTCCATTGCGGATCCATCCCAGGACCTAGGGCGTCGGGACAAGAACATAGGTGAGTGGCCTTCTGCAGCTTCCCCAGAGCTGTGGCCTCTCTCATGGGCATTTCAGTCGGAGAGCTCGCTATCCTTCACCCTCTGTTGGAGAGAGGGCAGGAAGGGTCTGGATAATTAAAATGGTCATCTCCCCAATCTTACCTAGCATCCCGTGCCGTAAGGTACTTATTTTATGTGCCAGCTCCAATACCAGCTCCGTATCTTCTTTCCTCGCCTCCTCACTCCTTGGTCCCAATTTCCTCACCCACTTAATTTAACCATTACTTAATCTGGTTGTCTGTATGTCTAAAGTTCCTTCTGGAGCATAAGATGGTATGAATAAATAAATTCCATCTGTTGGCATCGTTTTCTTTTTTTAAAGGGCCAGTTCAAGTAACAACAACTTATTGGACTCTCCTGGACCTAATTACTCCTGCTAGAAACAATCTCTTCCTCATCCGGTGCAACCATCCCATTTTGCATGGCACTCACCACAGGCTGCCTGGTTCAGTTATTTCAAGTTATGTTTCATCTCCCCCTTAGAACACAAACTTCCTGAAGTCTGGGGTGATACATTAGTCATATTTTAATCTCACCTATTAATAGTACCTAGCACAGTACCTTGCACACAATGGGTGTGGTGTGGTAATGTTTTCAAAGTAATGGAGAATACCCAGGTCACACCTGAGCAGTGGGTCCAACCTTCTATACCTTGCAAAATAGCCAAGAGTAGACAGGTTTGAGCTTCAGTAGGTAAACAACCCCAAAAAAGTATAAAGGAGAAAGAAAACAAGCAAAATAGCATGAATAATCCATACATCAATCGGATCACCCAAAAAAAAAAAAGGGAGAGTAAGTTATAACTGATTGAATTATTTAGAGGCTGTGCCTAGGCTGAATTCAATTTCTATATGGCCTTAGGAGTACTAGTGGAAAAAAAAAACCCAGCTAGGGAATATTAGGATAAAAGAAGAAACAGCTGATACTGTCTAGACAGTTCTAGGTGAAATGGAGACGTGGCAATTATCCAGCTAATAGAGTTGGCACAAATAATCCAACTAGAAAGTTAGGCTCTGAAAGCCTACCTGGTGTCTGGTCACCAGAACATTGCCAAATATTTTCTTTATTAGTGAGTCTGAGAGTTTGCTTGGAGAGGAAATACAAATTCTTCTGAAATTTCAAGATCAGTAAATACCGTCCATCTGTTACCATATGCCAAAGGAGAAGACACCACAATCTGTTTCAGATTTGCTTTCAGATTTTTCTCCCCTCGCCGTCCTCATGTTGAACAATTAGAAAACACTAAGCCCAGTCTCCTGCTCCTTAACTCTCATAGGCATCTCTCAAATTTCATCCCTGGGCAGAAAATGACTGATGTCTTATTGTGCATAGATAACAATGGAGCAAAAATCCCCCCGAAGCTGGGCTATTTGGATTGAGATATTAATTCATGTCCAGGCTGGCAGATTGTGGATGCACCAATCTGTAAAGCAATTAATTGTGGGAAATAACTGCTCAGAGTGTTCATGTCAAATCCCTGTTGTCAGTGGTGGACTGTGGCTGGCTGGCTGGAGGTGCTAATGATTTCACAAAGTTGCCTGTAAGTTTGGATGCATGCATTCACAGATTGCATGTCCAAATACTTTATCTCTTAGAGAAATGGAGCTCACAATGCCCCTCTGCTATGTTTCATTACATTCTGCTTGGTCTTGGAGATTCATTTGAGGGTGTCAGAGAATCATTTTATCCATGTGCATCACAAATCAATGCTTGTGCAACAATCTGACTTCCTTTGGGCCTGCTGAGTCTTGCTAGAATATTTTTCTCTCCAGTTTCAGCCAACTGGAAACACTGGGCATAGCTACGGTAGTGGGGATCTCCACTTATCAGCTTTTCCGTGTGGACGTATCATGGGCTTCGGTACCTAATTTTTTATTAAATCATGCCATCCTTGTTCATTTTTATTTCCCAAATGCTATTTATAAAGGCATTCCAGGACATTAGAGTGGGAGATTTGATTTTAGAAGATAAAAATGCATGGTAGTTTATATCCATGGCTTACATCCAGGGTGGGACTGATCTCTATGAATGAGCCCGTCCTGCAAGTAGAACTGGCATCGGATAGGAAAAGCATAAAATCTGAAGTCAGAATATCTGGCTATGTTACTTACCTGGCAAAATCACTTAACCCCTCCAAGCCTCAGTTTTCTCATCTGTAAAATAAGGAAAATTGTACCTTCCCCTTCTGCATTACAGGGTTGACATAACAGACTGTAAAACGTAAATTCTGATGACTATGATTGTGTTGGTGGGTGATTATTAGTTTGAAGCAAAGCTTGGTGATACTATGATCCTTCATTTATACCTTTCCCAATGAGAAGAGGAAAAATTTAGGAATATTAAGCTTTATTTCAGAATTTATTTTGGGTTTTTTTTTGTTGTTTTTTGAAGACAGGGTTTCACTCTGTCACCCATGCTGGAGTGCAGTGGTACAATCATGGCTCACTGCAGCCTCCTACTCCTAAGCTCAAGTGATCCTCCTGCCTCAGTCTCTCCAGTAGTTGGGACTACAGGCATGTGCCACTACACCTGGATAAGTTTTTTTATTTTTTATTCTGTAGTGATGAGGTCTATCTATATTGCCCAGGCTGGTCTTGGATTCCTAGCCTCAAGGGATCCTCTCGCCTCGACCTCCCAAAGTGCTGGGATTGGAGGTGTGAGCCACCATGCCCAGCTATTCCAGAATTTGTATGAGCTTATTCTGCATATTCTGATGTGATATAGATTCCTTAGCTGCTTTGTCATCATTTTTCATTGTACTTCGATCACTGATAACCCTTGATGGTATAATTTTAGTCTCATGTCTGTGCCTTCCTTGCTCTTCAAAGCTTCAGTTTAATATAATTTTGGTAAAACTACATTTAAGGGTATGATGGCTACATGTCAAATCTAGATCTTTAATCTACATGCTCTAACAACACAGCTGTATCATAATACATTATTGTTCTCTCCCTTTCTGTCCCTATTAATGGCATTTCAGTTAAAGTGTCCTTTTTCTTTTCTTTTTTAAGAGTATATTCAAAAGAGAAACTCTCAAGCTAGCTTGTGTCTAAATTTAGCCTCACTGATCAATACCGACGTCTAAATTAACTGCCTTTTTCCAAGTGTCAACAGCTTCCAAATCAATATTTCCTGCTCCACCAATTTCCATCAAACACAAATGCCTTCTCTGAAATTGGATCAGAGGACTCGCTAAAGAAAGAGCCTATACTGACAAGGAAAACAAGTCTGTCTAACGAGGCATGGTGGCTTAACCAAGCAGCAGTCCCTTGGCACCTCGAAGGGCTATTGCCCTTTGCAAAGGCCTTTGTAGGTTTCCTGAGAGTCTGACTTGAACAATCTTGTACAGCCTTGAATTACAGTCCCACTGTGTGTCATTCTCGTCATGGTCGGGATAAGGAATTTTCCCACCCCCACAGAAAAATTCTCTTTCTGTCCTCCAACTCGTGAAATTATAAATGGGAATGTATAGAGACATTAGTGTACCCCGGATTATTTATATATAGACAATGTACTTCCCCATTTGTCAAACTATTTATCATCATCCCAGTCCCCATCTTATATAGAATGAGTACTTGGAGAATGAAAATTCATTTCCATTTTAATATCAGCCAAAACAAAGAGAATTTGGGAGCTGATTTTACTACTGATGCTGAAGAAAAATATAAATAAAAAACCAGGAACAAAAGCCAAATTAATATATTTAATTTCAAAGTCAAATAGGAATGATTTTTCTGTTAGCTGTTTTGTTCAGATGATCACTCCTGTCACCTTCCACTGATGGAAACAACCAAGCATGAACAGCAGAGGACTCCAATGACCCACTACAACCCTCCTAACCTCAGGCAGGTGCCACCTTCTCTATCAAGCCTAGGCCACGCCTGCTCCTGTTTTCCCAGGCATGGTGCTGCCAAGGCCAGGAAAACCTCAGACTCTGTTCTTCTTTTAATTTTATTTTTTAATTGATACATAATAATTGTACATATTTATGGAGTACACGTGGTATTTCAATACATGTATGTGTAGTGATCAAATCAGGGTAATTGGGATCATCATCACCTCAAACATTTATCATTTCTTTGTGTTGGGAACATTCAAATTCCTTTCTTCTAGCTATTTTGAAATAAATTATTGTAATAAATTGTTTGCAATAAATTGTCGTTAACTACGGTCTCCCTGCTATGCTACAGAACACTAGAACTTATTCTTCCTATCTAACTGTAATTTTGCACCCATTAACCAACCTCTCCCTATCCCACCCTACTACTCTCCAGTAACCACAATTTTACTCTCTACTTCTATGAAATCAACTCTTTTAGCTCACACATACGGGTGAGGACATGCATGTCTTTCTGGGCCTGTCTTATTTCAGTTAATGTAAAGATGGAAGGCTTCTTTCTATTTCTCCTGGAAACCCACGGTAGGAGTGGGGGCCAGCAGAGGCAAATTGGAGGATCTTGGACTTTGGAGGCCTGGGCTCAAGTTTCAGCTAACTAGTCCAGAGGCCTCAGGGAGCTCTAATCCTATGGTGCCTCGGTTTCCTCATTTGTAAAGTAAGCATAACACCACATTTTCCAATGAGCCTGTTCTTTTGAGATCATAAATGAGAAAAGTCTTTCTCATATGAAAAGAAAGTACAATCATAACTACTAAGTTTCAGAGTTTGTATACTCCTTACTGCTCTAGGCCTGCTAGGATTTCCACCATGTCCCCATGAATAACATTTCTTTCTAGAGATCCAGGTATGATCCCAGTGTAATTAAGCAGAAAACAACCAGGATGGCAGCACTGTAATATGGCCCTGCTTGGGGCTCAGCGATTTAATCTGCACCGAATACAGATCTGTAGCATGGCGTGTGTGGGCTTTGGTTGAGCACTGATCAGAAGAGAAGAGGAGTGCAGAAGGTAATTTTTCCCCCTATAATAAATACTAATATCATAACTAAGGCATAGGCATTAGCAAGGAATAGCTGGAATATAAGGGATCAAGCACTAGTTAAACAAAATACAACATTTTTGGCACTCACACCAAATTAATAAATTTAAATCTAAAAGCTCCAGCATGGTGAACCTATGATTTTCTTAACAAAAAAAAAAAAACCGACAAAACTCTAGCAGCCACTGTACATATGAAAAAAAATGTTTAAAAGAGAAAGATGTTTCTCTGCTGAGGATAATTTGGGGGCTCTGCCTAGGGGAAGCAGCGGGTAGGGTTGTTTGGGAGAATGTGGAGCAGAAAGGGGCAAGCGCTGAAGTGATCCAGCGCCTGCCCCTCCCAGACCTGGGGGAGTGTGCACTCTCCTCAGGGTAACGCTCTCGGCCTTAGAGGACTTATCCGTAAAACTGGGATAATATCTGCAATGGTTGTGAGGATTGATCAAGATGTGTGTAACAGGCACACAGCACTCAATAAATGGAACTATTATTATACTTTTACTTCTTCAATCCCCTCTTTGTCCAAATAGGTAATTATAAAAATTACCTCCTTAGTCTGTTCATGATATAAATATGTAATGTTTTTAAATGTGATATTGGTCATTGTGTGTATGTTCTTAGAGGTTCCTAGAGATTTAGATATGTCCTTCAAAAAAATGCCTAGCATAATGCCTCATGCAGATAAGAATTCTTTTTTATTGTTAAAATCAACTTTAATATGGCAAAAAATTTTCTTATAATAACCACACACACATTGGAAATAATGATGGTTATTTCTACTACTCATTGACTATTAACTAGGTGTTAATAGTACTAGGCACACAGGTGCCCCAAATTAATCAACCTGGCTCTAAGGCCTGAATATGTTTATTGATAAAGGATTTGTATTTCCCATGGATTGCTTGAAAGGATTAAGGATAAAAAGAGAATAGATTCAGTGACTGAAGACAACTTGGAAAAGCTCTGGAATGGATTGTTATGTGAGAAAGAAATAATGCACTTTTAGTTTGACCTATGGTACCACTGCGTCTCTTATATTATAGCAGCCAAGCTTTCAGACACTAATACAGCTAGTCTTTAACTTACGTATTTTCTGAGTGCTGGTTACTTAAAGAGGTACACCTGGGCTCTGTATGCCTAACCCCATACCAGCAGCAGGTTGCAGGCCTGGCTCAGCTGGCTGAGAAGCCCAGGCTGAAAGTGGAAGGGGCAGGCTCACCTGTTTGACCTCGGCCTGGAGGTGCCGTAGTTGGAGGCACTGCTCTAGCCGCTTATGGGTCTGCTCCGCGTTGAGCTCCAGTTCATGCTGCTTCTCATGGAGAAACTCCAGTAGCTCTTGCACCTGGGCTGCCAGATCAATGTCTTTTTCACAGATCAACTCAATACCTGATTTTAAAAAACGTAAACAATTAAAAACCAGGTAGTATTGTGAAGACTACATTTCCTTTAATATGCATAAGAAAACTGGAATTTGGAAATAGCCATTATTAGTACTCTCCCAAACTCGACATATTCCTCTGTGAATTTCAACAGATCACCATAATGGGTCTTTGTTTGGGACGCTCAAACCATACCATCTCTTTTGTGTTAACTGATTCTTTGCCTGGGATTTACTTTTCCACAGACGATAAGCTCCTTATTATCAACTGGAATTGATAAAAAGAGAGAGGAGGTTCTCCAGAAGTCTATCCTTAGACAAGACAGCACCTAGCAACTCCTGCTAGAGGATTTGCCAACACCCAGAATATTCACAAGCAATCCTCTGGATCTTATTGGAAAATACAATACCAAACCAAAAAGGCTCTGTCTCAAGAACTTCTGCCAAAGGCACTTTCTTCTAGCTGGTCAGATATAGTTTATCATTAGATGGTAAGTCCACTCTGATTAGAGTAGCTGGGCAGTGGTGATTTTATTATGGCCCCTAAAAAAGTAACTCTTAGAAGTACATGCTGCCTTTCATATATTTATCAAACATAGGCAAACACACCCAATAAACACACCCCAGCAATACCACAGGGATATTGAGTGCTTATCCATTTAGAAAAACCAATCATGTTACAGTTGTGCCCATACAAGGAGAGTTTGTGTATCGTTTTTCTACTGATTCACGGCCGTTAGTAAGCCCAGCCACTGACAAGTGTTCCCAGTGTTTATGGATAAACCACCCAACATTAATAAACTGTCAACCACCTGACCTATAATGGGAGCCTGGAGCCAATATCTGCCAGCCAGAAGCTGTGGTGTCACTCCTTGTCTACCACCCTTACTATTTCTGTATGCTTCTCCCTATTCACAAGCGTAGATGTGCACACACACTTTCTCTCTTCACCACTCCAGTTCTCCTATTTATATTAATACATTATCACCAGCCGGCCTGAGGTAGCCTTCTTGAAATAGGTTTCTACTTCAGAAAGGGTCATTAACAAACTCTGAGACATAGCAAAGGAACTGCCTTACTTATCAAAGTCTCTCTCTCTGCTAGTGACTTGAATCTGATTCCTTACTTAGCTCTCAAAGACTACATGGTAAGTGTACTAGCTTCAGAACAGTGCTGAGCTGGAATCCTCAACTGGAGCAAGTTACCTAGGCTCTCAGAAGCTTCATCTTCATTATATGTCAAATAAGATTTTATATACCTACCTAATTCATAAGCTACCTACCTCCATGATGCATTTAAAGTATCTGTTGTATACTCATATAAATATAGATCACTGCATCTGAGTCCTGTGGCTTTCCTGGTTCCTAACTCTTGCCTCAAAATCTCAATCTCCTGCCCTTTTACAATCTTGTCCTCTTGGTTCCTGTCTCCGACTTGATGTAAGTGACCCATGTTTCTTGATTCTGATTGTCTACCCATTTCTGATTCAGCCTTGCTCAGATCCTTGGCTTTGGGAAAATCCCATCTCTGGATTGCTTGTCTTTTCTGATCCCTGAGTCCATCTGAAGCTTCTTAGCTCTGTCCAAATCCTTTCCCTGGCTTCTCATCCTGTAATCTATGACCCAGTGCAACTATGGTCCTGATGCTGACACCTTGTCTAAGATGCTGAAGAATAGGGTCCCAATCAACAATGGGGCTCAGATTTAAAAGCCTGGCAGATAAGTCGCCAATGGGTAGTATTGTTCCCTGGGGATCAAACCCAAAGAAGCCCACCAATCTCGACATACGGCCACCTAAAAAATAAATCCCCTTCAGGAGACTTCCCCATCACTGGGACTCACACCATCAGAAATTAATCATCACCACCACCAACACACCTGCAGCATATAGTCAGAGTGTAAGGAAAGTCTGTACATGCTAAGGAAATTCATTTCTGGAGGTAAAAATAGTGTTTTATATAAGGACAATATGGGAGAGTGGGAACATTTTTTTCTGGTGTTACATGGTAATAATTTCAGTATCTTTTCATGTTTATTTTTTCTGTCAGTTTCATAATTCTAAGCCCCAGCTCCCGAAATATCTGTGGGAGACAGAGAGAAGAACGGCTTGTTCTTTTGGCAGGCAACTCCCTTTAGTTACTATTTTCAATTACCAACGGGATGAGGTAGAGCATCTCCTTGACTGAAATAGAAAATGATACAAAAATTTCTACCTCTGCAGGGCTTGGCATAGTGGGATGACCCCTGATCCTATGTTTGCTTTCTGGAAATGTAATTTAAGATCCCTCTGCAGAGGTAGAAGCTCTTCCTCACTTCCAGTCACAGTGTGGGTTTACTGCGGCACGTGTCTGTAAGGTTCAGTATGCTGGGCGTGGGCAAAGTACCTTTCCACGTGCACCTCATGGCTCACCCCTGCCACACCACACAAATGGGCTCTCTGAGCCTGGTAACTTATCAAAGAGGCCAGCCACCTGCTTAGGACATCATCCAGGACAGGCTCCCAGCCTGCCCTGAGACTCAGGCCCTGCATTTCCATCCAACTCGTTTGCTATTGTTTTATGTGAAATGAACACGCGACATAAAATGGATGAAGATGATGCTTATTGCACCTCCGCACTCCTCAGCAATGCACCACGCTGTGGATGAGGTGAATGGGAAGAACATGAAGATTCACTCAGCTGTACCTGGAAGACAGAAACTACCCCCCTCCCACTGCCCCAAACACATTGATGCGAATCCCGGTTAAAACCCATCAACTGGTAAGTATCCGTCAATCAGTAGCAAGTAGAGTTTGCTAGTGTTGACATTACCGCTCTCACTCTAATCATAGACTGGTCTAGGGGCTCTCAGAAATGCAGAAAGACACGTTTGTTCTTTCCATCACATAGTAGAATATATTTGTAATTAAACAGTTTGTCAGTCTCCCTTTAAAAAGTCATATCAAGGTTTCCTTCTGACGTGCCCCCACAACGTCCTGTGCTCACATCCCATCAGAAAGCTTCCATTGAGGTTGGTTCCTTATTAACTTGTCCATGTTCTCACAGGAACACAGGCTTTCTGAAGCCAGGGCCATGTCCGTCTTACTCATTTCTGCCTCTTCAGGCCCTACCACAATGCCTCGCTCATGTATCACCCAATAATTACCTGATCAATGAATAAACGGGCCTCTTTGGGGAAGAGCTGAAGTCGACAGTACCTGAGAGCTTTGGGGAAGGGACAGGCTTGGGTTTGCTTTGCAACCTATTAACAGTGAGACTCTGAGCTCCCTACCCTCTCTGAGTCTAGGTTTCCTCAGCCCTTCCTTACCTATGAAATGGGAGTCACGACAATGAGTTCTCAGGGGTGTTGTGAGAACTAAAAGACATAGAGTACACATAGTGCCTGGCATCTAGTAGGGTCAAAATATTCATTTTCTCACTTTTTACTTTCCTTTAAGGAAATTACAATGAATATATTTTTGACTACTGATGAGACAGTTGAATGGCTTGAATGAAATATGAATCTTACCGACAGGTGTTTATGTACTTGCTCAATGTATATCATTGGAAACTATGGTGGTGTGAATGCTATTAGACCAGTGCTCTTAACCCTGGCTCACATTAGATTCATCTGGAGAACTTTTTAAAAATCACCATGTCCTGATCACACCTAGACCAATAACGTCAGAATCTGTGTGGCTGGGATCCAGCCATCAGTTAGTCTTAAAACTCCTGGGGTGATTCCAACATGCAACCAAGATTATGAACCACTAGATAAAATGGTACAATGGCCAGCAACCCAGGGAATCAGAGATTCCTTATGCTACGTTCAGTTACCAGAAGGCTCTGCACTGATGTTTATTTAGGGCTAAAAGCCACAGTTAATAATAATGTTAGTTTGCCTTTGCTGCCAGCTGGGGGTACCACTTCACCTTCCTCAAAGAGAAGTGGCTGTGGTCTAGGGTAGGATTTGAGTATTTCTGGCTACGCTGTTCCTTCTTGTAACTTTTTTTTTCTAACTGTTGTGTGTTCTTGAAATATGTGTCTGCCTCAGATAGAGAATATCTTTCTTTTCCCCACTCCCTTTCTTTTCCCCACTCCTGTTTCTGTGTCACTCCCTCTATATAACACCTGGTTCAGAAATTACCAAGTCCTTTAATCAGGTTTTTAGATCAGTGTTCTCAACTCTGGCTATACCTTAAAATCACCTGGGAAGTTTTTTAAAAAGCTGGGCCCACTCCAGACTAATTAACTAAGACTCCCTGAGGGGTGGGGCCCAGACATTGCTGTTTTTAAAACATTCCCCAGGTGATTCTAAATATGCAGCCAGGTTGAGACCAATGGTTTAAAACAAAGGTCCTTCCCCCCCCCCCCAACCCCCCCAAGGCCACAATCCCAACAAACCCAAAAGAACCTCCAATTGAAAAAAAAAAAAGCAATTTTTTTTCTTCCCTTTTTGACACCAGTAAGATTATTTGTGGCAGTGGTCCCCAATCTTTCTGACACCAAGGACTGGTTTCATGTAAGACAATTTTTCCACTGACCAGGGTGTGAAGGTGGTGTGGAGCTCAGGTGGTGATGTGCAGCCTGTTTCCTAACAGGCTGGGGTGCAGAGGTTGGGGACAAGAGATCTGTGGTCCATTATTTTTACCTACATCTGCTCCACCCATAGTGATGTTAAGTTTTGATTAATTCAGCAAACATTACTGAGAACTTGTTATGCACAAGACATAATCACTCTGCTAGATGCTGGGAATGTAAAGAGAAGGAAAAAGGAATCCTGCCCCCATTCCTGCTAGAGAAACTACAGGAACACAACGCCACAAGAAAGCAGTATATGCTTGAATATGAGTATAAAACATAGCAGTTGTCAAGCTTCCTGAGCCCTTCCCATGTTCCTGTGTGATCCCACTGTGTCCTCACAATGACCCTATGTGGTAAGTATTCTCAACATCACCATTTTTCAGAGGAAGGCGAGGTTTAGAGAGATTGGGCAACACATTCATGGACACGAGGTAGTAAGAAGTGTGACCAGGATTTCAACCCAGGATTTCCTCTTGTATCTATAGTCTCATCTCTATGCTCAAGGAAAAGAATGATCTCCAAAGATTTGATTTATTTTAAGAATTTATTTATTTCTAAACCTTGGAGCTGGGTTCTTCTCAGGCACAGTAAATTTTAAGCATCATGGCCACAGACTCCAGAGATTTTTCACTTAAAAACCTTACATAAAGGGAGAACTTGATGTTTTTTGATTAAACCACAAAAAGCAACATATCCATAGGATACGCAGCTCTTGTCTTATTCCTAAGGTCAAGCGTGACAGTCACATGGCCAGATTTCACTGGAGAGAAGACCTGTGGCATAGCCAATGAGGCAGTTAGGCTGAATTATGGGAAGTGATAACTGGGGGGCACTTTAGAAATCAAGGCCCACTTCCCACACTGGACAGAAGACAAAACTAAAGTCTACAGAGAAAGAAAACGGACTTCCAAAGTCAGACTGTTTATTGGTGGTGGAACTGGACCTTGACTTCAGGTAGCATGTTTTCCCTAGTTTGGCTCCTTCCAGCAAAACCTACCACCTCCCAACTTGAGGCTCAAATACAAAATTCTATAGTCAGGAAAGAGCAATGGGCAAATTAAGAAATTCTTCCTATTTGTCTCTATTCCTGAGGCTGATGTTGACATAAGCAAAGGCTTTCTGCTTTGGTTAGAATTGGTGGCACACTCAAGGGATTTGGTAGAACCTGGCTCAATCTTAGAAACTGGATGCTTGAAAATCAGCATATAAAATTTCCTAGTTCCCTTTGCTGCTATAAAATCAAAGCATAAACCCTTAATTAATTTAGCATGGAGGGCTAAATACCAACAAGCCTTACTTGTGATAATTGTTCTTTTTCTAAGATAACAGTTTATTTTACCTTTAGTCCAAATACAGTTCATTAGACAAACCTTGTAAATGCCCAAGCCATTCAATGCCTCAGTCCCATGTCTGAAGTCCTGTATTCCTTGGCCATGGTGCAGGGGTGTGGGGTGGATCCAGGTCCCATCCCAGGTCCACCCTTCACCCCACCTCTACCCCCACGCCCTAGCTCTGCTGTGGTTCGGCTCTCCCCTTCCCTAAGCCCAGAGATGAGCTAGATGCCTCCTCTGCAGGACCAGGCATTCAGCCATAGACAGAGAGTGAGCCGTCTTAGACCCCCAGGATTCATTCCTGTCAAAGCCTCATGAGCTATGCCAGACTGAACAGCCAGCTGTTGTAGAAGCAGGGGAGCAGCCAGCCTCAGCAGACAGGGCTCGAGAGGCAATCAAACCTCTTTTGACAAAGCTCATTTCTAGTACAGGATACTGTTGGGGTGCGCAGCCCATCTGCCTGGGGCTGTTGTCACCCACTCAGCCCTCATGGTCTAGGCGGACAACAAGCATAGCACCCCCAGTTACAAGCAGTCCTTAGGGGCTTCCAGCTCCCAGCAGTCTTTCTGTTACCATGGATACTTGGCTCTCGGGACAGAGGTTGGTTTGCTCAAGGTCATGTCAGCACCCTGGTGAGTACTACAGGTTTCCAGCCAGACAAGACTCTCCTGCTAGACACATCCACTCTGAGGGATGACGAGTGAGCAGCCTTGCATAGCTTCTCTGCACAGCCTCTCTCCTAGATTCTGTGTCTGCATTCTCTCATGGTCCCCAGTCTTGGCTGGATAGCCAGCTATGGTGAGCATCGTGAGGGTAAGCCACACGGCTAAACCCTGAATCCAGATAAGATTCTCAATCACAGAGAAAGGATTGCAGTTGCCCTACTTCCCTACCAAGGCTCTGGAAAGCTACAGTCCACATCCTACAACACTGCTTCTCAACTTTAATGTACACACAATTTACCTGGCTATTTTGTTAACATGCAGATTCAGATTCACATATCTGGCATAAAGCTGGTGATTTTGCCTTTTTAACCAGCTCCCAAGTGACTCTGGCACTGCAGTACAGGGCCCATGCTAAGTAGCAAGGTCCTAGGTTGTTGGAGCATCAGAATCATCTGGAGGACTCCTGGAAGCATGGATTGCTGGGTCCCACCCCAAGAGATTCTGATGTGACAGGTTCTAGGGTTAGGTCCTTGAACTCGCATTTCAAGCAAGTTCTCAGGTGATGCTAATGCTGCTGATCTGGGGACCACACTATGAGATCCACTGTCCTAGGGCATTCCCTAGATGTCGGCTGCTAGGATTTAATTATCATGATAAAAAGTGGTGGTTCTCAGCCCTGGCTGCACTGTTGAGTCACCTGAGAACTTCCTGCTGTTGTCCAAGTCCCATTCAGAGGTAGTTAAAAGCAGAATATCTGGGCATGCAGCCTGGGCATTGCCACTTTTTTAAAAATCCCCAGACAGATGCAGGTGAGTAGCCCTTCCTGGGACTGTGCAGAGAGCAAGCTGCACACCTGTGAATGGGCTGAGTCTCGGAGTATTCTGTTCACAGCACAAGTGAAAATTCAAGGCAGGATTGTGCTGACAAAAATGAACAAAATTTACTAGATTGTCCTCTGGTTAGGAATGAAGTTCCTTTGAATGCTGGTATTTACACTTTTGGGTCATCAAAAAAATAAAAGACAAACCCAAAACCAAAGTACCCTAAAGTTTAGTATGATTACTAAGGCCCCCGACAATCTCATGGCTTTATAGCCTTCATGATCAGCAGGGACGTGTTTTAAAGAGTTTAAACACAGCCCAAATGTGTTTTAAAGAGTTGATGGCCTTGGCTTCTGTCTTCCTCGTCCTGGGGAGCAGGGACTGACACCAGCAGGACCCTGGTAGGAGGGTGGGGTGAATGGTAGAAGACACTCCACTGGGATGTGACCAGACAAGTGACTTCTTTTCTTCTGGACTAGCTGTACTTAGGGTTCATGATGGCTCTCCCCAGTTCTGACATCAAAGGCCATCTCGGGGAGTGGTAGGTAGAATAGTACGGGCTCATTCATTTGTTGGATAAATTCTGAATAGATCTTGAGCAGGAAAATAAGTTAAATCTGGGTAACAGCTATGTTTTTCTGAGAAGTTATAAAATTCTATGACCTTGCCATAAATTTTTATCAGCACTGCTTACACTTACCCGCAGACCAGTGATAAAAAATTGAGGACTCTGAGAAGCATGAACAGGAGACAAGGAGACGGCTGGGAAGCAGGGAAGGGGGCGGGAGAATGTGTGCTGGCAGCAAGGACGGGGAAAATGGCAGACAGCTACACACTTGAACACAGTTCACATGGATGTCTGGCTGCTTTGGTTTGTTTTTCCAGGCCACCATTTTTTAAAAATCCGTGCTAATTTCCATCACTGGCACTCTCATTCTCTCCGCAGCACCAGGAGACCCTGGCCCTACTCCCATCTTCACCACAGCCTAACTGGGAAACCTTGGACAAGCTATTTCAGCTCTCACAGCTTCTGGTTCTTTTTCTTTAAACTGGGGGTAAAAAATCTTTATTCTTTATATGTGTAGGAATAAAATGAACAAACAAGGTGGAAGTGTTCCTTGGAAGCTAGCTAGCATTCTTGTTTTCCTTATCTCCCCCGCAGGAGAATGAGAGAGGCCACCCACCTGAGGCCTGGACCTCCATGATGTACTGGTGCAGGTCCTGGCCCTGCTGGACGACCTCGAAGGTCATGTTGTTCATGGCCAGCTTCCGCTCTGTGTGGCGCTGCAGCCGCTGCTCTGCCAGGGTCAGATCCTCTGTGTTGAAGTCATTCATCTGCCGGAGCAGGTCCTCGTTCCAGGCATCTAGCTCTGCTGTCACCTGCGAGGGAACCACCGTCATCACTACAGGCTCGCTGGGTCCACGAGAGACTGCTAGGCTGAAGCTCACGATTCCGAGCCTTACTCACTGACCCGCCCCTCAGATCAGTCCCTGCTTCGCATCTCTTTACCCTTAGACTATATTTAAGCAACACTGCCATGCACCCACATATACGTGGCTTTAAAAGCGCTCTCGGTGTATTTCAATGCCTATAGCAACAGCAAAGGAACAGCAGCAGATGTTTATATTATGAATTATGATTTATAAAGTTTTTGCATACTCCGTGCCATTCAATCCCCACAGTGACCCAGTGAAGCAGACACGGTGGAGACCTCCAGGTGCATCTTTTAGAAGAGGAAGCTGACCCTCACTCAGACAGATGGGCTGACTGACCCTGCTAGGGAGGGGCAAAGCTTCAGACATAGCTCAGTTTTACTGACTGCAAAGACTGTCTACCATCTCACACTGTGGCTCTAAGGAAATTTTGTAATTTTAGTCCTCAAAAACTAAGTAGTGAGTCTATTTCAGAAACAGAACTGAGGGCTAGAGAGGCCTGGTGAATGGCCCAAGGTTACATCAGTGAAAGAGCTGGTGTACATCAAACCCAGGAGTCCTGATCACTTTCTTGTGTTCTATTGTCCAGGATTCTTTCCCTCTATTACAACCTGATACCTGGAAATAGTGACTGAACAAGGTGTAAATACATAGCATACCTCTAGAAACTCAAGAAGATTATAATCAACTGAATGGCATTAAAGATTCTAATAAAAACTGAAGCATGTAACAAATGGAAACATCACCCTAACATCAACTTGCTGATTGTTTATTGCTTTATGTCTTAGCTCATATGGCTTCACCTGGTCTACTCTCAGTTCTCTGCAAATAGACATTAAATCCTATACTTCCTCCACAATCCCTGCACAGAGATTTCACCCAGAGTCAGAACTCAGAAGTACTGAATTAGATATTAAATAATTCCCTCTGATATGTGAATCAAAATTAAAACTTTTTAATAAAAACATGGTTTTCAGATCTGTCATCTCATGCTGCCCCCACAGCAGCCCTGCGAAGGCAGTAGCACAGGCGCTGCCATCCTCTTTTCCCAGGAGAGGAGGTGGAAGTGCCACCCCAGGTCTCACATTTGCAGTATGGCCCAGGCAGTCTAAGCACACACCCCAGAGCCCTAGTTGAGTGGTTTTCATTATGCCGGTCTCATCCCAGCTCCCATGCAGCATAACCTTCTTACCAAACACTGCTGCTCCAGGA